TTTGCAATTCTTTTGTATTAATTACGAGATCGAAGAGTAATCACAGTATGTAAACAAATCTGGTGGATATCCGAATGATCATTTTCTGTCCTCTTTTAGAGTTGCAAACGAAATATTGGTCGTCATTCCTCATTCCCGATATTTGCAAACAATATTTGGAACTTTTGTATTTTTTTAGTGCGATTTATCAACAATAATGAGGATTTTTTATTGTTGATTAAAAACGAAGCGTTCACCTGAAAAAGTTGCAAATTCATGTTGCTTTTGAAAGCAGTATGTGAAACTCCTCTCTCAATTTGCAGCACTTTTAAAATTTTTCCACGCAAGTTATAAAAAAAACAATTATTATTAACGGCATTCTTGAGTTGCTAACTTCCGAATTGGTTACCAATTGAATAGAATGTAATTTATATATTGCAGAATGTTCTAGTGTATTTACAAGACTTTTAACATTATTCTTAGTAGATTTCCAGCCAATATATTATTTATTGTAATTATCAACTGTGACCTTCACCTTTACTATTATTTGATTTATCAATAGTAGTCGGAGTGGGCTAGCTCAAATGAAGGAACAATAAGGGATAAAGTCAAATAAATAAATATATTCTTCAACTCTTTACAATATGGATCGTCAGAAGATGTTATTAGAGCCTTTCATCTTTGATCCAGGGAAATGGGCAAGGCCAGGCTACTTTTGTACACGTAAGAAAAAATGGGGGAAATGCTAATTCTTTTTAAAACAAAGGGGAGAAGCTAGTCGGGTCCAGGGAAATCTAACTAAATAATAATTTCAATAAACTCACTCTTCAATCCAACTTTACTGGGGACAAAACAAGTGTGGGCTCACCGTTGGGGGTAATGATGAAGGGAAAAACTGGTAAATCGGGAAAATGGGGGAGGTAACTAGTACTCACGCGTCTCGCTACACTGCGCTTCTCCTCGGCTCTGGGGTATCTCCTACTTCCTGGGGGTTTCTCCTCAAATGTTGAGCCTCCGTTTCTCCTCGGCGAATATTGGATTACGGTTATTAATTATTGGGATTGTACTCGGCAATTCCTCCGCTTAATTTCTCCTTCCACTCTCTCAATGGGAAAAACACGTCTATACACTGGGGCAGCTGTCAAACGAGTGATGCTTCGGCGCTTCTTCTCCCCGTTCTTTCCCCCTTTTCTCCTTCGCCTTTCTTCGGTTACGTCTTCGGGGGCCAATCAAACTGATCTACATGGATTCGTGGTGACAATGCAAGGACGTGTGAAGTCGATGATTGAGGGGTGTGACATTTTCGGGGGCTCTTGCGTGGGATAATTCTTGGGGGCACTGGCTCTTGCGGGTTGCGTAGTAGAGTCGGCGATGACAGCAGCTTCGGGTGACGTTGTCTCGTTGTCTCAATTCCGGGGTGAGTGTAGCCGAACGAATGTGAGGGGGGGAGGAGGGGGAATGATCAAGGATCCAACGGCGGCGGAATATACGATATTAGGGGGCTTATCGTGGGGGAGGGAAAATATGGGAAATGACGGTGAAAATATGCAAAAATGATGATGAAAATTTCTGCCTCGTCACACAACATGCAGCCGACCGCGACGGGAGTTGCAACTACAAATTTATTGTTTTTAGGGCTTACTCTAGCATTTCGCACAATATGAGTTCTTTTGCAATTATCTCTCCTATTCGGGTTTTTTATGCTCTCATTGACTGGTCTATAAGGTGGCGGCGCAAATCGGTCTTCCAAACGATTGTCTCCGCTGGGGGAACCGTTTAAATATGTCGTGGCCCAATATGACGAAGTTCCATTTCCGAGACCCGAACACGAAGTTTAAAACAGGAAGGTCATCAGGAAGCTTCACTAGTTACTGTTTACAATCAGAAATTATAAACACATGAAATATCGGTTAATTTATCAACGGATATAATATACCAGTATAAATGGCCGGTCGATTAATTGTCAACAATAGAATTGTTACTAGACAAGCGGTCTTCATTTTTTTTTGTTCAACGAATTTCGTCGCGGAGAGTTTATTCGTGTATCAAAAAGGGAGATACCAAATCACGAGGGTCATCTCCGTTGTAGAAAGAAATCGGATAAGTTCTGCGATTAATGTTTTACTGAATCCTGAGAAAAGCCTCAACTTAATTCGGAAAAGATGAACAAATTGATATTCAGACGGAAAATGATCCCCCTATGAACCATCCGTGACCGTAACGCTGATCTTTTTCATGGTTCTGCCGCTAATTCCGAGCTCCCTCGTCAAAGGATCCTATATATTTTGTACTCATTTGAAAGCTTATTAAATGAGCTTCGAAATGACATGTAGATCATTTGATTATTGTCATTTTTCATTGAGTTAGGCAATTTTCAGTCAAAAATTGTGTTTTCGTGTTTAACTAAAAAATTCAAATTTGGAAGGATTTTTCTCTTTTCCCAACTTATATCTATCGTAAAATTGATATATCATTTCGAAGTGCATCATTCCCTCTTTAGATTGTGATGTATGGAAGGCAATTTGGAAGAATTTTCATGGAGTTATTCTTCATTGTTCGGCCTCTTCATCCATTATCGGATCTTTAGACTTGAATAATGTGGCTTTATGATACACCAATTTGAAGATCTCAATGAGGTCTTCAAAATGTTGCCTCATTTTTGTTATTCCGACTTAGTCAATTGTTATGGGTCATTATGTTTCAAAATTTGCATGTCACAAATTGAAAAATCCCAGTTTTTCAGCCTTTCGTGTTGAATTACCTTTTTTTGACGTAGAAACTACCTGAATTGTTGAATTATTCAAAAATAATCATTAAATACGCTTCAATATGAGATGTGAATCGTCTCATCTCGACCATTTTTCGCGAAGTTATAAAAGTTTTGGGCAAGAACTCATTTTTCTGTTTTTCTTGAAAATTCAAATTTGGCTGATTTTTTCTATCCCTCTAATTCACATTCATGAAAATGTCGATATATCATTCGAAAGAGCATCATTTGTTCTTCAAAATGCGATGTGTCGCATGCAATTTGTTTCAATTTTGATCGAGATATTGAACATTGTTTCTCTTTTGAGCGTTGTGTCACACTCTGAAATTCGGTCTTCTCATCCACTATTGGAACATTGCACCTGACAAATGAGACTTTTCCGTGTACCAATCGGAAGATCTCAATGAGATCTTCGAAATGACCCCTCATTTTCTTTCCTTCATCGAACTGATCAATTGTTATGGGTCATTATGTGTCGAATTTTGCATGTCACAAATTGACAATTTCCTAGTTTTTTTCAGCGTAATTGTCGAAAGTTGTATCAACTTCGAATACTTTGTCACACCGGAAAATTTGCATCACTGACGAGGGGCTATTCAAAACTCTCAAAAGTATGTGGAAAAAGTGAAAACTGAAAAATTGTTTTTTCACCGGGGGCGAAAGGGTCTNAATTGATATATCATTTCGAAGTGCATCATTCCCTCTTTAGATTGTGATGTATGGAAGGCAATTTGGAAGAATTTTCATGGAGTTATTCTTCATTGTTCGGCCTCTTCATCCATTATCGGATCTTTAGACTTGAATAATGTGGCTTTATGATACACCAATTTGAAGATCTCAATGAGGTCTTCAAAATGTTGCCTCATTTTTGTTATTCCGACTTAGTCAATTGTTATGGGTCATTATGTTTCAAAATTTGCATGTCACAAATTGAAAAATCCCAGTTTTTCAGCCTTTCGTGTTGAATTACCTTTTTTTGACGTAGAAACTACCTGAATTGTTGAATTATTCAAAAATAATCATTAAATACGCTTCAATATGAGATGTGAATCGTCTCATCTCGACCATTTTTCGCGAAGTTATAAAAGTTTTGGGCAAGAACTCATTTTTCTGTTTTTCTTGAAAATTCAAATTTGGCTGATTTTTTCTATCCCTCTAATTCACATTCATGAAAATGTCGATATATCATTCGAAAGAGCATCATTTGTTCTTCAAAATGCGATGTGTCGCATGCAATTTGTTTCAATTTTGATCGAGATATTGAACATTGTTTCTCTTTTGAGCGTTGTGTCACACTCTGAAATTCGGTCTTCTCATCCACTATTGGAACATTGCACCTGACAAATGAGACTTTTCCGTGTACCAATCGGAAGATCTCAATGAGATCTTCGAAATGACCCCTCATTTTCTTTCCTTCATCGAACTGATCAATTGTTATGGGTCATTATGTGTCGAATTTTGCATGTCACAAATTGACAATTTCCTAGTTTTTTTCAGCGTAATTGTCGAAAGTTGTATCAACTTCGAATACTTTGTCACACCGGAAAATTTGCATCACTGACGAGGGGCTATTCAAAACTCTCAAAAGTATGTGGAAAAAGTGAAAACTGAAAAATTGTTTTTTCACCGGGGGCGAAAGGGTCTGATTTTCGGTTTTTCCAGGGGGAAAGTCGACTTTCGCCAAAATCGAATTTTTCAGCCAGGTGAACTTTGATTCCAATGATTTGAGCGACGGGCTATTCAAAACTCTCAAATGTATGTGAAAAAAGTGGAAACTGAAAAAATTTTTTATTCACCGGGGGCCAAAGTGTCAGATCTTCGATTTTTTCAGAGGGAACATTGTTTAGTAACATTATCTAGTAACATTACACCTTCCGAGGAAGAAACCCAAAATCTTTAGAACAGTAATCAAGTACTATTGATCCGGTCGATAAAATATCCGGAATTGAGTATGATCGATTGAAAAAGTATAGCATAAGCATCAACCACAAGCAGCCTAACTAGCGCTCGCGCAGCGCGCGTCTCGCCTAGTAACGAAACAAATTCAATAAAGCTTAATAAACAATGAGATTCATTTTTTGATAATCGAGATGACCGTTGCGATTCTGGACTTTTGTGATCTTGAGCTCCGTAAAATTCATCTCTTGCCAGGTATGACTTTCAGGACGCATGATTCGCGTAGTGTCCGGACCTTATAGTCAAAATGCCAAAACAAATTATATCTCTTTTTTGTTTACAGGTGACACCGAAATACTGGCATACTTTCATGGACCAATCGGTGTACTACTTGCCGTAAATATCATGTTTTTCATAGCAACGGCACGAGAACTGACGTGCGGATTGTGGAAAGGAGAGTTTGTAAAAAGTACCACTGAAAGGTAAAGATCGAATACATCACATCTTTTCATACCTTTGTAATGTCCAAAATTTTATACTAGAAATTTAAGGCTAGAATAATATCATGTAAAATAACCAAGAAACAAATCAATGATTGTAAACTAAATAGAGTGCAGTTCATCACGGTAACTCGATTAAAAATTCCAAAGACATTGGAACCGAGTTGAAAAGTGATGAAATGGCCCACTCAGCATGTCCCAATTGCTCAACATTAAGATTCGCGCATGCAGGAACGATTGAAAACCGATGAATTGAAACCCCTAAAACCAAATGAACTACTTTCCCATAAAAATCAAAAGAGTGGGAAAAGTCATACTGTAGGATTTGCGATGGTCGGGAGTAACAAATCACTACTAAACGAATAAACAATTTAATAATATATTTATTCGCCGAAGCGTCAGTCTCAACAAGTACAATGAATATTGATTTGATACTCAGGTGCGCTCGATACAATGGATGCCGATCAACTGCCAACGGCTCCTGTGCGATAGGACGCCGTGATAGAATAATTCGGTAGAGGCGCGAAATGTAATCCTCTATTATTGTGTTGGTATATCCGTGAGAGGACAGCAACGAAATATTAAATGCCTGAGGGTGACGTCAGACTGTCTCCTCAGTTGGGATGTAGCGAGGCGCTACATGTCTCCCCTGCTGGGAGAAAAACGTAGTTTTTTAGAGAACTGAAACAAAAAAAAACAGAAAAATTAAATTCGCTCAACGACAGGATAGCATAGAAATTCTCTGCTGTCTCCCGGGTGTCGTAATGCTTGAGTCCGGAGGTTGCCTCGGGTCGTAAGTCCGTGTTTCCAATCGGTCGTTAAAAGTGACCCTCCTGGGCTGGCCAGAGGTTCCTACTGCCGTGCCTGCTCTTGCTTGCTGTTGTTGCCGCTGTTGATGTCGTGGACAAGCTTCTGCAGGAAGCTGCCGAACCTGTTCCATGTCCTCGGGAAGAATGAACGCAGGTTTGAGGCGGTCGATAGAGATAGGAACGTCTTGAAGATAGTTGCCTCTCCCTAGTGACCTACAGTGGACAACAAAATGTCTATCGTGCCTGCTGACGACGCGATATGGTCCAGAGTATGGAGCTGCGGTATTCGGTCCTCCAGTCTCTGTCCTGATGAAAACATGCGTGCAATCGGCAAGGCTCTTGTGGACGAAAGTTGGCTTGGTTCCGTGACGAGACATCTCAGTGGGTGCTACCGCCGCGAAATGTCTACGGAGATCCCTCAAAACTTCCGGAGCTGCTCGATCGTTCGTTGGTGTAAACAATTCACCTGGGAGCCGAATTGCTTCTCCGTAGGTGAGCTCAGCAGGTGTGCTTTCAACATCAGGTTTCCAAGCGGTTCGGATTCCTAACAAAACCAACGGCAAAACATCATACCAGCTATCGCCGTGGCAGCGAAGTGCAGCTTTCAACTGGCGATGCAGTCTCTCCACGAGTCCGTTAGCCTGGGGATGAATTGGCGTAGTAAGCTTGCGTCGAATTCCCAACATCTCTGTCAGACGTCGGTAAATGTCCGCGATAAACTGGCCTCCTCTGTCTGATGTGATCCTGAGAGGTACTCCAAACCTCGCGATCCAGTGATAGAGAAGTGCACGAACTACTGTTTCTGTCCTGATGTCCGGTAGTGGCACCACCTCTGGATACCGTGTAAACCTGTCTATAATTGTGAGACAGTCCTTGAACCCTTTCGACAACGGTAAAGTAACCAAGTCGACATGAATATGCTCGAATCTTTGGGACGGTAAAGCAAACTTAGCGAGAGGTGCTGCGACATGCCTCGATACTTTATTTTTCTGACACGACAGGCAATAACGAATCCAATCCGAATAGTCCTCACTCATACCTGGCCAAACGAAATGATCGGCGATAAGCTTCCGAGTTCCTTTTCCTCCGGGGTGCGCGAGCGAATGCATGGAGAGAAAAACTTGCCACCTTAAAGGCCCCGGCACATACGGACGAATCGTGCCCGATGCTGAGACATCGCAATACAATCTAATGTTCGAACCTGGGAAGCGGAGTAGCTGTAAATTAAGACTGTTGTTGTTGTTACCTTCAAGCAGCTGGCGAAGATCAGGATCTTCTCGCTGTGATTGAGCGAGTTGTTGATTGTCGATCGCCTGGGACACTGCCTCGATACGAGACAAAGCGTCAGTTACCACGTTATCATCGCCAGCCACGTGTACGATATCAGACGTAAACTGGCCAATGAAATCTAGTCTTCTACACTGCCAGGGTGTTGCCTTATCCGGTTTCTGATGGAAAGCATGCGTCAAGGGTTTGTGATCCGTGTAGATCGTAATATGTTTCCCCTCGAAAATGTGCCGAAAATGAATGATCGCCTCGTAAATCGCTTCTAACTCTCGATCGTAAGTCGCATGATGACGTTCGGAGAGAGCAAGCTTCTTGCTGAAGAATGCGAGTGGCTGCCAACCATCCTGATGTCGTTGTTGAAGGACAGCGCCAATTGCGTGATCCGATGCGTCGGTGAACACAGCCCATTCAGCGTGCACGTTCGGATGTGACAGATGAGTGGCTTCAGCCAGTGCCCTTTTGCTTGCATCGAAAGCAGCCTCCATCTCCGGTGTCCAATCCACCGGATGCTTTCCTTTAACGGCAGGTCCCCTGTGTGCTGCGTTGAGCGGAGCAAGAATTTCTGCAGCCCCTTTCATAAACTTTCTGTAAAAATTGAGAGCACCAAGAAATCTGCGGAGAGACTTAACGTTAGAAGGTTTTGGATATTCGAGAATCGCTCTTACCCGGTCCGCAGGGGGCTTGATCCCCTGTGCGTTGATGGTATGCCGAAGGAAAACCACCTCCGGTTTGCCAAGGACAGACTTCGCTACATTTACCACCAGACCGAAATCCTCCAAACGTTGGAACAGTTGCCTCAGATGATCTAGATGTTGCTCAGGTGTCTCAGAGGCGACGAGAATATCGTCGATATACGGAAATAGAAACGGCAGATCCCTTGTGACTTCATCGATTAAACGCTGAAACGTCTGAGCAGCGTTGCGCAGACCGAAAGTCATGAACGGGAACTCGAATAGCCCAAAAGGAGTTATTATGGCCATTTTCTGGATGTCTTCAGCTGCTACCGGAACCTGATTAAACGCCTTCACGAGATCGATAGTCAAAAATATCGTGGATCCGTAAAGATTTGCGGCGAAATCCTCAAGGTAGCGAACGGGATACTTGTCCGGGATCGTCCGATCATTCAGGCCCCGGTAATCACCACACGGTCTCCATTCTCCGTTTTTCTTAGGAGCCAAATGCAGAGGCGAAGACCATGGTCCCTGACCGCGCCTAGCGATGCCAAGCTTCTGCATATTCGAAACTCAGCCTTTGCTATAGCCAGCTTATTTGGTAGCAAACGTTTTGGTCTGGCCGATACTGGTGGGCCGGGTGTAGTCCTAATGTGGTGTTGCGTCATATGCTTGGTGTTTCGAAGGAGTCCCTCCGGCTTAATTATGGCAGGAAACTTCTTCAGTAGGGCTACATAAGATGAATCCTCTTCAATCGTCTGGAGTCTGACTGAGAATGACTCGAATTTAACCAGCTGTCCATCTGTTGAGAGACCAGTGGCACTATCAATAAGTCGTTGATTCTTGAGGTCAGGCAGAAGACCGTAATGATGCAGCAGGTCAGCGCCACTAATGTACCTCGAAACGTCAGCTTCAACAAAACGCCACTTGATTTCCTTGCGCAGGCCAAAATCGAGCAGGATCGAGATGTAGCCACAAGTATTGATCAGAGTGTTGTTGGCTGCGAACAGCTGATAACCAGACGCGTCCTTTTTCCGAGTGTGCACCCGGCGAGGACACACTGAAACGTCGGAACCGGTATCCACTAGGTACTGTGCCTTGGTGGACCTATCGGTGAGAAAGAGGCGACGGGATGTTAATAAAGAGCTGCGTTCCGTCGCTAACGACTCTCCCTGGAGTTTCCCTAGTACCGACAACCCGGAAGGCACTTTCGTGCCCTGTCACCAAATCTGAAATGGTACCAGCAAGCGTTAGAGTTGTGTAATACCTTTCGAGAATTGGAGCGTCTGCGAGAATTGTTGCGACCATTGGGTGGCCCTCTCGAGCGAGAACGCGACTCACGCAGCTGCATCGCAGCTACTGTAGCCTTCAAACTCTCCAGCTCATCACGAAGCGCAGAGTTGACCACATTACCCGACGAGGCCGAAATAGCTGAAGTCTGATGAGGTTGAAAGACCTCATGGACCCTATCAGCCAGTTTCGCCAGGTTCTCCAACGAAGCGTCATCCTGGGCAGCAAGCGTCGCTCTAGTCTGCTCCGGAAGGTGAGACAGCCAGCGTGTCTTTAAGACCTCCTCATCGATACCTGGAACCAGAGCCTTTAAATGCCTAAGATGCTTCGAGGGTGTACGATCTCCAAGATTCTCATTGTCCAGCAGTCGTAATAAATTCATTGACCTTGATGTGGTAAAACATCGAATTAATTCATTCTTCAATGTTTGGAATGGGGTATTAACTGGTCTAGCAATAATGAGATCCTCGACCTCTGCTGCATAGATCGTATCAATTAGCGGAACAGTTTTATTATACTTATCGATCTCCGTCACTATTCCAAGATCGGTAAACTGGGTCTCCAGTTGAGCAAACCACAGCTGAGGTCTATCAGGGTTGAATGGCCTTGCGACGAGCTTAGGTTGCATCACGGCTGCAGCTGCTAAAAATGCGTTGTCTGTGGCGAGCTCCTGGACACCCGGCATCACGAACCACGAAAATCACTTGACAATTATTTACCGAAAAATCGCGGTAATCGATAAATTTAAAAAAATAATTATCTCAATCAAAAAAAAAATTAAGCACGTGTCGTCACTCTTGCGAAGTCGTTAAAGTCTTCACATACACCAGCACAGCACAGCGTCTATAGGGTGCTCAGCAATGTGCCAGCGAGATAGAGAGAGACGGACGACCAACCCTCAAGTATCCCCACTTGTTCACTCACT